TCATGAAGGATACAAGAAAAATAAAATGTTAATCTAAAGTTTTCGAAAATTTCTAGATTCAATTATTGAATAAACGAAAAAGTCAGTATGTATCTCTGGAAAATTAAATAAGTAATAATAATTCGCGCAAATTTGTTATATGCAAAATTACGTTTCTGATTATTAACCCATGTTAGATTAAAAAAAAACCGTTAGAGCTTGATAAATTATAGAAATTTATCTAAAACAAATATTTAAAGGCGTACAGAATAAAAATGTAAAATGATTGGCCATATAAATCATTGTTAAGTTAATTATATCAGCTTAGTATATGAGAGTATATTTTCAAATGTGGATTCAAATTTTGGAAAAGCATTATGCGTTTGGTTTGCAAATGAAGACAGAAAAAACTAAAATATTTATGCGCGACTATGTTCTGTATCTGCAATTTATAACGTTATTTAAGCATAAATACGGAAGAACGATCAATATTTTTAAACATATGGTTCAAATATAATTTGCACATACGTGCAATACCAATATATATGAATATAGTTAACTCACGTGGGTTGTATAGGCGCGGTGACATGATGGCTATTTCTACGCCGCATAAATGGCCTTCCTGCTGCCGGATGTTGTCTGGACAGCATAATTAGTGCACTCGCCATTGTTAAACAAACTGGTGCCTTGTTGGCTCCGGGCAGAGTAACAAATACAGTAGCAACTGCTGCCGAACCGTCGTTCGTCGGCTCAATAGCGATTGGTCTAATCTCTCCAATATCTTGCATAGCTAATTTGCGAGCTCTAATTTTTCTCATGGCGGCTGGACTACCTCGATTACCCATCAATAATGTTACCGATGCAAATGGTCTTTTGGCCATATGCAACATTTCAACCACATGACGCCTTCTTGCACGCCTGATATCTGCAGCTTGTTTTGCCTTCCAAGCAACTACACATGCAGATAAAAATAAAAAGAAACAAGAGAAAAAAACTGAGAAAAATACAAATAAGTCGATATGTAGTTGGTCTTGACGTGTAAACACCATTCCATAACTTGGTCTTCCAGGAGCGTCCTCATTGTTGACAGCTCTTAATACCATGAAAAACCTGGTGGAGTTCAGATAATGAACTTCCTGTGGAAGTATCAATACAAGACGGTTTCTCAAACCATGAACTTGAAGAACAAAATTCCTCTTATTGACCGTTATATACGTGCTCAAATCTTTTGAATTTTTATCCACCAAATTATATACAGTGCTGTGGGTAGAAGAAGTCCAGTAAGTCCTTTCGGATGTAGTGTTATCACCCATAGAATATTCTATTCGACTGAGTGGCTCTTCATCCCTAATTCTATACTTGGGGTCTATATCAACAAAATGAGAACTAGTAGTAGCGTTCGTTGTAACGACAAAGGTATCATCACGAGGGCTTAAGAAAAGATCTAACATGCCTTGCGTTACATCTATTATTACGTGAATATTAACGTTCATGTAACGAGGTTGTACCACAAAGAATACTGTTTGTCCAGGATTCAAAGGACGAGGCTTCATTTTGCATTCATCTGTTGTATAAAATATAGAAATGAATTAATTTTGACTCAAAATTGTGTTTGTGCTACCATAACTACCATAACCACCATAAAGAACTACATGATCAATTATTTACTAAATGATAAAACACAAGAACAATCATTATAAAACCCAATAAAAACTTCTGTTATATAATCAACTCAAAGTCTATTCACTCGAGTTCAAATTTTAAGATGTTGAAGTTTAATCATCGTTTATAGATAAAGCAGAGTTTAATAACTTTAAACCTTCTTTCAATTTTACTCATCAATTTTAAAATAGAGAAATACTTGTGCAGTATCTAGCACTACACTTTTTCCGATTTATCAGACTTTCACACCAATTTATAATTGCAGAAACATCTATTAAATATTATTTCATCAGTGAACAAATTGATAACATAAAAACTTAAACTGGTATAGACTTACCAATCTTCTTTGCATCAAAGCACATTCTATCGTTTACGGAGATCAGTTTATAGCATTGATGTCCTTGTGTAGGTGTGCCAACATACGATTCTCGACATTTGGAACATTGTACCATCCAGCAATGTTGTACTGAAGCAGAATTTTTGCCACCACCAGCAGTGGCACAAGTAGAATCGCTCTCTGTATTGTTACCGCAGTTACATTTCTCACCAGTCACAGGATCACAAGTGTCGCCATGACCATGACATTCACAACTGTTGGAAGTATAATTTGTTAATTATTGATATTCAAAAATCTTATTATTTATAATAGCTTGCTTATGAATAAGTAAATAAATGAATATATGTATAAATAACTCACGGTCTGCAAGGATGTTTATGATCTTCAGAACCCCTAAACATGCCAAGAACGCATTCTTCGCATCTGTTACCAGTGGTATTATCCGTGCAGCGTAAACAGCGCGCTGCCCCTATGGGTCCTTCTCCCAGATAATCTTCAAGATCTGACCGGGACATGCCTGGTGGTGGAGGCGCAATACCCGTATTATCCGCGATGCAAACTTCACTGTGACCATTACAATAGTCCAAACAGGGAACGCAACGTCCATTATTGGAGGGATCACCAACAAAGAGAGGCTTGCATTTTTCACATGAGCACCCTATAAAAGCAAATGCACGATGATTACAGAAAATATCTTTGAAGAATTCAAAAATTACTTTTGCTCTTCGGATTTATTAATTAAGTTCAATGGCACTAGTTCTTACGTTACGCTTCAGAAATCTTTTTAGATTCATAACCTTCCCAATAATATGCAAAAATTTTTCTTTCGAGCAATCATTAAATAATTTGAATATTAATCGGGTATGTGATTGCTAAATAATAATTAAGCTCTAAATTTAACTACATTAAAAATGATTACAATTAAAAATTAACAAACACTTACCATCGTGTTATTAAAGCACTCGATACACTCATTTAATTTATCAGGTCCTTGGCAATTGGCATGCCCGTTACATTGGCACTGGATACTGCAATTTGCTCCAACGTACCCAAAATCACAAGTACAAACATTAGGTTTAACGCAGACTCCTCGCACACAACCTTGTGTACACACCGGACACAAATTTGTCCGTCGAATTTGTAACCTGGTCCACATTCACAGGCATAACCCACTTCTAAATCGACACATTGCTCAGATTTTTCATCACAATTGTGATGTCCATTTTCACATTCGTTTTCGGGGGGACAACGAACGTAGTTCCAAGTAAATGTTTCATTGGGTGCAATCACATTATCGGTTTTTTCGACTTGCATACAACACGTCGCATGTTGATAATGCTGGATATTCTGTAGGACTTTCCAGTGATCCTTCTGCGCAAACACCATCTCCTTCTTTGCCTTGTCTCGAGCACCAACCACAGTGAGCATGACGCAGACATACGGAACATTGTGTGAAAGATTCGCAAGGTTCGGGGCACATTCCTGCGTTATCGGGCTTCAGAACAGATCCACATACACCTCCCGCACAGTACAAAGATTGATAACTCGGTGAAATACATTCATTCAATTTCGTTGACCATCTGCACTCATGCCAACCCCTTCTGAACCCGTAGCTGCCAAGCAACTACTACAATTCTTATAGACAGCACATCTCGGGCACAAACTGCTACGTCCTTCATTTTAGTTGTTGTAATTTCTTCAGATACGCAATTCCAATTGTAAATCGGTTCTGCGGCTACTTTAACACCCAATTCGGAGTAATTAGAACCTGTCTAGTCCAAATACAAGATCCCAATGCAAGCACTGCTCACAATCTGATGCCGCACATTGGCGTTCTGGACATTCATCCACAATTGTCACGCCGGTTGTTAGTTTCTGTCGGTTGCCA